CTGTCTCTTATACACATCTAGATGTGTATAAGAGACAGCTCCCCCCCCCCTCTCACTCACCTGTTGTTCAGGACCTTGTGTCTCACTACCCCCGGCTGGCCACGAATCAGCCCGACAGGGGCGTCCAAGAGACACCCGCCGCCTTCGCCACCCATACCCCCTGCTTCCCCTCCCCGCTCCGCTGGGTCCTCGGGGAACGGCGGCGTGACGTCAAACACGTCCATGTCCATGTCCATGTCGTCTTCCTCCGCCCTGTCCCCTTCGCCGTCCGCCACCGCCGCCACCCCGGCCGATGCTGCTGGGCGACCGGATCGGAGCGCCAGGCCGCCCCCGCTTGCCTCACCCCCCCAAAGAGCGATGTGGGGCTGCGTGGAGGAGAGCCACATGAACATGGGCTCCTCGTACGGGCCGCTGCTCTCGGTGCCCCCTCCTCGACCTGAAACCCGTGGAATGTGTAAGTATTCCGCATTGCCTCCCGGGAATTGCGGCCGAGCCCGCACATGGGTCGGAGAGGGAGCGACAGAGAAGGGGACCATTGGAAACAGTTCGTGAACACCGAGACTGATCATAGCTGCTGCAATCGTCGAGACGTCGCGAGCCTGTGACCCCTTTGGGGGTGCTGTATACGAAGAGAGCAATCGCAAAGAGGTGGCCGTCGCCTACCAATCCGGCGAGCCTTGCGCCTGACCCTCGTTCAACAGCACTCACCGAGTTCGAGCTCCATGTCCAAAACTTCCGAGTCGGTCACGCACACCAAAGAGCTCTCTCCCGTGCGGAAGTCGGTACGATAGACCCGCCTCCCTCGGCCACCACTGTAGTACACGTCCAAGTCGCAGGGGCTGCATATACACGCCCCCGGGGACCAACACAACCACGAGACAAACGCGGTGCTAGGGGGTGAAGGTCGACCAATAGGAGCAGTGGAAGCGGCGGAGACGGCGGTAGCAACGGAGGAGCCAAACTCGAAGCGAGAAGCAAAGGCATGAATCGTGGGAAAAAATCAAATGAGTTACCCAAAGGTGGTCTGCGTGAAACACAAAAGGTCGACTTCGACATCGACGAGAGGGGGGGG